GGGCCAGGATCTGGGAGGCCACAGCATCTATATCAATCTGTGTCAACCACAAAGAACAGGCGTACAAGACGCTTATGAGATGGTATCTTACCCCCCTCAGGCTCAAGCAGATGGGCAGGTCAGACACGGACATATGCTGGAAAGGTTGCGGACAGAAGGGCACATACCTCCACATGTGGTGGGAATGCACACCCACCGCACAACTTTGGCAACAAATAGCTTCCATGGTATCGAAAATCCTCCACACAGACATACCACTAAACCCCTGGACATGGCTCCTATCCAAACCGCTTCCCAACACACCTAGGGCCCAAAACAAACTAATTGCCAAAATAGCACTGGCCACTAGAAGAGCCATTGCCGAAAAATGGGGTAGCCCAGAAACCCCGACCGTGGGTACAATAACCCAAAAAATAAAAGAGACAATTAAAATGGACGAATTGTCCTCACTGGTACACGACTCGACTAAGCACTTCCACAAAATCTGGGACCCATGGTTCTACGAAAACCCTCTCTCCACCTGAAACACACACACACCCACGCTACAAAAACGCTCCGCAGACACTTAAACCACCAACACCTCCCAGAACCATCAGACACACCCCCTCTAGCACCAGCCACCCACACACACAGAAACATAAAAGAGCCAAGACCACCAAACATAACCCCCAACCATACAAACTGAGAGAACCCCCAGATAAGAAACCCCAAAGGGCCGAACAAATCCCCCAAAACCGGACACCCCGAAACAAATACAACAGAACCAAACATATCCGCCAACTAAGAAAACAGCTGAAACAGCCTAAATCCAGTGACCACACAACACAACAACCATACCAACAACCCCAGAGGTAAGCAAAACCACAGCACAACCCCAACGAGAGGTACCCAGCACACACTTAAATAATAGAAAACATACAGATGGGAAACCATAAAAGAGGGCCACAATAGAAGCTACATACGACAACAACCTCAATACCCATAACATCTCAGACTCACCAACGGGCTGAAAACCCACGCTGGCTGACACTCGCATCGACTTACCAGACCACCCCTTATAACTGGGTCCACACCCAACCTGAAAAACAAAACGGAAACAACAAGTGAAGGTAACCCACCCCACACCTCCCCTTTCCCCGGCACCCCTCTTACACCCCCAGACATCATAGTGAACCAGACAACTCGACCAAAACCGAGCATAGACAACACCTGAACTAGGAAACAACGCAAAACAAGCAGGAAAAAGTACCCCCAAACACCTGCCCCCTCACTCCTACCCAACTGAACAATATGCGCTGACAGCGTACGACGCAACCCATCACGGACACTACACCACGCAAAAAGGCTCACACAAGCCAACTCATTCCCATAACCACCCAGACCCACCAACATAAAGAGAACTGGATTGATGTAAAGGAAGAATCGAAACTGTATGTATATGTACCCCACTCACCTTCCCTCTTCTTTTTTCTGTACCCCACCCAATTCCCAATTCCCAAAGAAAAGTTGAAAGATATGCCACATGATATAGCCTGATCATATGCTACATGAGAATGTGATAACTCTGTAAACTTTGTATGACAATTGTACCGCCAACTTTTCTTTTCTGTATCCCCACGTTAAATGACAAAAATTTTCAAAATAAAGAATTAAAAAAAAAAAAAATATATAAATATAGACATATAAAATCCATTATAGCAGAGTTTCTAAGATTAAACTAAATGCTTGCAAATATCATTAATAGGTTAACATACCCTTCTGAACATGTCATCATGTCAGCCTCTCTGTCATTTTAAGATGGAGCAGCATCTGTCTCCAAGTCTCTCCTCTGTGTCTTAACGTTTAAAAGTACACCTATTTATACCTTAGGTGTCTCCATTTTAGGGTTACCGTAGTTCATATATGAAAAAGTAACACTTCTTTTACTTTATTCATTTTAGGACCTCCCTTAACTTGGCAAACATACAAGGCCATAACTAAATGGTGTATACGTCATGGAAATTTTCCTGATTTAGTTCAAGATGGCATCTTAAAGTCTGGACATCCTTATCTACTTAAGGTTACCAGAGTATATTGTGTACTGAAAGAATCGTAGCATAGCCTTGAAGCTTGTTTATGCATTGTTGTTATTGTAATTCGTCTGGGACAAAATGGCGCAAACATATTATGCACTGAAGTTATTGCTTAAAGAAACATCTATGAAAAACAATATGTTCCATTTTTAACACCTTGTCACTTTGCAATATCTCTTAAAGACAAAGTACACAGTTTAAAAAATACAACATTTCATTCTAAAACTTGTAATATTTGCATTTGCCCATAACACCCTCTCTATTAAACTGTGGGCATTGTAGCGCATTTCTTCCTTAAATTAGTAAACCAAAGTTCTCCAACAGTCTTTAGGTTTTTTGTGCTCCCAGCATCTTTGATCATTGTTGTAACAGTAAAACATCCGTAGTGTGATCTTTGCCTGTAAAGGTGGTTGATTAAAATGAGCAAAGCTTTTGTCTGGGAAATAATTGAAAAGAACACCAGGTTCTAGAGTAAGATATTCTTGGATGGATCTGGATACGAATTGTAATCCAAAATTAAAAGTAGTAATTGTATTTGTAATCCAAAATCTTTAAAGGCCTGTAGAAGTTTACATTCCTTAGATACATTGCTGGAGGTTGTGTTTGTAGAATACCCAGGTATTTGTTGTAGCGTATTGGTTGTAGAGTCCAGCTTTCCAAATATTTGGCTAGAATTGGTTGCGGATATTGAATCAGCATCATCTGTTATCACTGTGGTGATGGCGTTGGTATTTGACTTTGTCTTTGCTTTTTTTCATTTAGTTTTTTCCATGAAACATTTTTATACTGTTTTTGATGTGTGTAGATTGGATACTCTCCGATATTCTTTTACGGAATAAATTTATTGACAGCATTTCTAAGACATTGTCTTAAGTGACATGGATCCCATTATAGTAAATGTAATGTTGATACAGCATTCTAAGTGGATTCTCAAGAAGCCTCTTTTTGCTGTATTGGAATCTTTGTAACATCTCAGTGATAGACATCTAAAAATGTTAACTGGTAAAATCTGTGGAAAAATCTTTACATTTGTTATACTTTGTATAATAATGATAGATGAAATAGTAACATAGTTAATCTTTCTAGTGTTTTGTTTTAAAGATAAACACCCTTGTATATGATTTAGAGATATAAGGATAATTTGAAGCAGCAAAGTATTTACCGCCTTTGTTCACAATGGTATGTAAAATTACATTCTCTTTAAATGTTAAAAATACTCCTCTATTCAAAATCTCTCAATCTATTTAGAATAGTTGCTAATTGGAAATATGACGTTAATTATCTTTCTTTGGCCTGTCAGGGAGAAGGCAACTTATTCCCTAGTTATTATTAGTAAATATAATAACTACAGTTATTAGTGGCTTAAAATACCAGAAACCCCCAAAAATTGTCTTAGAAAACATTTTTTTACCAAGATCTGACAGCCATTGAGGAAAGTTACGTTCGTGAGATAGGATGCTTAACAATGAGAATCTTAATTGTTTAAGTATATTTACCAGCGGCTGTTGGGTGTAGCTTAAGATGATTTGGATTTTTTATTATTTCTAAAAGTGAGTTAAGAAAGCACTCATATACAATATTGAAGGTATTTATATTTTAGCTCTACCTTTGTATAAGTGGTTTTAACACCTCCATAACAATAGATATCAGAATCTGTTGTAACTATAACTGGTTGAAGTGGGGGTATGTTACAATCAGAATATGAATTAATAATCATATATATGATGTATTGATTAAACAATCAATAGATGTGGCAGGATCCTTACCCCAAGGTATATGTACCTTTAATCATCACAAACCAAATAACATTTTCTTGGTATTTGAAAAACAATACAATATTTGATTACATGTATTTTAATATATATACATAGAGTGGTATGGATGTTGAATTTATATCTTTGACATCTTTTCACCAGTTTGCAATAGGTGACCTAAATGATCAGTTTCCAAAATCATCATGTATATCACCTGAACGCATGGTGGAACGCAAATATAACCATGCCGTTTTTTATGCCAGCAGATGAACAGTTCGTAATATATAAAACAGACAGAACAATGAATATTAAAAGAGGAAATAAAAAAATATACATTGTAGATCAATGCAATATGCATAAAAATATTCAAAACAAAAGGGAACATATGAAGAAAATAATACCAATATAGTGAAGGTGATAAGAGTTGGCATAGTTAGAAAATATAAAAATCAGTAAAAACATGAAATAAAAAAATAAAAATATATAAAAGGAAATATATTTTTATAATAAACCATACAAAAAATATTTATAAAAAGATAATAAGAATTATATAATATAAAGGCATGTCAGCCTCTCTGTCATTTTAAGATGGAGCAGCATCTGTTTCCAAGTCTCTCCTCTGTGTAATTAATTGTAATTTGTAATAAGAAGGATAAAAAGAAGATTTTGTTTTTTAAAAAACAATTTTTAAAATTATCATCATTTGTCATTTGGTTGTTCAATTCTGTTGTTTCTACAGGGGTATGTTGTTTATCTTGTTCTGCGTTTTTAGTAAGATAAAAAAATTTAAGGTTGCGTTTCTCACAAACTTGTTCAAGTCTATAAAAGCCTGAAAATTGTTGAAAGTTTTAGTTGGTGCATATTTTAAACCTTTGCTTAGAACATTTATTTGTAGACTGGTGAGTACTTTATTGGATAGATTGAAAACTCCTGTATCTTAGATGTCTTTTTTTTTTATTTCTAAAATCGGTCTGTTCTCCCTTTTTTTATTACAGTTGTGCTTTCTTCCTGCTCTTCTTCCTCTATGGACCTTTTTCGCCCTAATACAGGAGTAAATGGAAGGTGATTCGTGTGTCGTTCTTTGTTCATGGGTATTTCTAAAAAAGATGTCTCATCCAAATTCTCTGAAAAGGATAGGGTGTGATATCTATTATTCTTTAACAGCTGGAAAGAAAAACTGAAAACTGGAGAGGAGAAAGAATCCTGCAGAGCAAGGAAAACCGCCCCATCCCCAGTACTTCCTCATACGTATTAAACCTAATAAAAAACCTGCACAAAATAATAATCAAATTTTATTAGACATCAAATCCTTGCTCTGCAGGATTCTTTCTCCTCTCCAGTTTTCCGTTTTTCTTTCCAGTTGTTTGTCTCTAGGACTAGGCCCTTTACTACTTCTATAACCTTTTTCTTCATCTTTGATCTGGTTTATTCTGGACCAAGGGGTGTTGTCTTTCCCCTATTCTTTAACAGGTCTGTGGGTGATCTTAATCTTGTTGTTTCACTTTTTTTGTGATGTGTTTTTGAGGTAACATTATCCCGTGAGTATTTATCCTGTTCCCTTCTTTTCTTGGGGGATATATTTTGGTGCGTGTATTTATTTGTTTTGGGTCTAACTACTAGTGATGTAGGCTCATGTGGTTTGGATCTATATTGTGTGATATCTGTCTTTTTTGTTGCCATATGTGATGATCTGTTGTGAAATAGACCTTTATCTTGGTTAAGTGTCATTTGTGTATTTTTTTTCTCTATTTTTATGCCTGTAATTGGGTGTAGGTGACCTACGTGTTGGGGAGTGTCTTCTAGGAGAATATTGTTTGTTTTGTTGATGGTTAGATCTTAATCTTTGTCTATATGTGTAATTTCTAGAAGTGGTATAAGTTGTTTTTTGTTTATACTGTTGGTTATAATTTCTTGTATGGATGTATTTCTCATTGTTTTGGTGTTTTCTGGTGTTAAATGTTCTTACTTGATCATGTGCATAATCATATTTTTCTCGGTTGTATTTGCTTATTTTGATTTTTTTAGTTTCAGTCTCTATTTTTCTACATTTCTTTTAATCTTTTGTGAAGAATCGTAGAATTCCTGTGTGTCGCTGAAAAGGGTTAATTGTTCTTTCAAGGTGTTGATTTTTTTAATCTAAATTGGTTAGTCTTTCTTTCTTAAGAGATTAGACCTCCCCATAGGAAAGCATTGAATAATGCTTTTTAATGCATTCAATGGGTATTTCAACGATGCTGGAGGTCCTCACATAGACATTCTATCAACACAGAAGTGTCCTCTAGTGGCTGTCTTGTAGACAGCCACTAGGTAAGGAGTTAACCTTTCAAGGTAAATATTGCAGTTTATGAAAACTGCAATAATTACACTTGTAAGGTTAAGGGTAGTGGGAGTTAGCACCCAGACCACTCCAATTGGCAGAAGTGGTCTGGGTGCCTGGAGTGTCCCTTTAAAAAGACACCCTAATGCTAAACACGTTTCCTTCAACCAAAATTACCCTCAAGGCGTGGGATATTCTTTTTGGTAGTGTTAGACCAACCTCCAGTTGTCACGAGCAATGCCATAATCAATTCTAAATTATTATTTACCCCCTCTAGATCTAAATTTTTGTCACTCCCATTCTATATATAAGTTGGATAATTTCTTTTCAGGGAATTACCTTTTAACATTTAAACAATTTAAAGAAAAATGTAATTTGGACAATTCTATATTGCCAAAATATACTCTAATAACAGACAAATTGAAAGAAATTTTTGAAATATTAGAATTGGGTAAAGGAGATATATCATTAAAAATGTCAAATTTAGAAAAAACGTATCTCCTCAATCCAAATCGTAAAGGCATAATCTCATTTTTCTATTCCCATGTTTCTCCTAGGCCTAAATCTAAATGATCTTTTATGGAATCATGGGAAAGATATTTGAGCGTTCAATATGAACTGGAGCATTGGATAAGTTTTATTCTCGCCTTGAGAAGTATCATGCAGTGCGCTAGTCATCATGAGAATCATTTAAAAATTCTCTATCGTTGGTACCTGGTTCCATCACGCCTTCACAAAATAAATCCTAAAGTCTCAGACATATGTTGGAGGGAGTGTGATGAGATGGGTACCATGTCACACATTTGGTGGTATTGCCCTAAACTCGCTAGATTCTGGAGTGATATTCATAAACTTATTAAGACTGTTGACCAAAATATTACCATCTTTACATAGAACTCGGGCTCTTTAAAACATTTGCAGAATCTGTTAATAAAGTAGACAGAGTAATCATAGGACATATTATTATAGCCTCCACATCCTATTTACCCAGATATTGGAAATCCTCTGCTATACCCTCTATAGTTGATGTACTAAAGTTAGTATTAGAAAACAAATCGTATGAGATGGCTATTAGACAGCCATCTTTATTATGGGATCAGCTTTTTATATTTCTGGACTGTTATAACTGGTCTGTGTTTATTTTGTTGAATAAGTCTTTTATATATAGATATTTCTTCTTGGGTCAAATTAATGAAAAGTACTAATACGCAATCTGATGTCTTTTATAAAAAATATGCTTTTATTCTACTTCAAAAGCAAACAATAATATACTTAACAGATGGTATTTCTTAACGACGTTACAGAGAGTGAGAGATCTTAAGTAGTCGTCTTAATATCAACAAGTCAGGAACACACCAGGAGAGGAGAGTGGATCGTAGGAGGAAGAGAACGTGGTCCTTTGTCCTCTGTCCTTTATAGGCAAAATTACATCATAACGTTTCATTTAGGCTCTGGTCACATAGGGAAATTCCCCATATAAGGATCCTACCCCCAATCTCCCTATACAGCACATTCCAGAGTCCTCATTGTACAGAATAGCAAACACCATCTGTTCTTTTTAACCCATTAGACAGCCACACCTGAGTGGACTGAGTGGGAAAACAAGGTTAAAAAATCTTATCATTCATAATTCAAGATATTCAAACTGTAAATTATTATTAGTACAAACTTGTTTTATTAGTTTTACATAGATATATTATAATTATTTTATTATCGTCGATAAATATAGACATATCAATATTGCACAAAAATATTGTAAATTCGGATGGATACTAATCCCAAGTTTCCCCTTCCCAATTTGTTATTATTATTCATTTAATTATTGTCATTTTTATTTTATTATAATATTAAATACCTAATTAAAACTATTTGAAAAGAAAATAGCTTCAATGCTTTCATACGGAGAACTAACTGACCCTGGATGTCCTCATGCAGAATGCCAGTTAGGGCAAACAAAAGTCGCTTAACCCCAGGAAAGGCCTCTAGTGGTTGTCTGATTGAAAGCCACTAGAGGCAATTTTAGTCCTGCATTGTAATGGAAGATATATGAGCAAATGTTGCAATTATTGTTTCAAAGTTATATGTTTGCAAGCCCTGGTGCGCTAAAAACTATAATTCTAGTAGTGGTTAAGCAAACCCATATATATATATATATATATATATATATATATTTATATTTTTTAAAGGGGGTTGGCTTCACTATTGAGATGGATATCAGCATGATCTACATTCTTTGTTCTTTTATAACGGCAATTGGAGTCCTCCTCAGATGGCGCGATCGTTATCAGAACTGAATAGATTCTTGGAGGCAATGTATTAAAAAATCCCTGAAGTTATAACTCTTCCACAACATACAAACTCACCTATAAGTCACCTGCCCTCAGTGCGGCAAACAATGTCTTCACTGAAAGAAAAATTACCCCACTGCTAAAAATGACTGCTGATCTTTACATGATCCCTCCGTTCAGTGGACTGTTGGCTCTGTTCCAGTAAGACTTTCAGTTTGAGTGTTTACTTTTTGGTTTCATTCTAGTTTGATCTTTGGGGAGTTTTATTTTCTGAACTTTACTTATTTTACACTGAGAGGCCCATAGACAGAACCAGCAGGTCATGATTGTTTTTGGGAGATATACCTTATATAGATAGTCTACTGGTCATAGCGCCCCTCCCATTGTTATTAACTCTAAAACATAGAGTATTAAAAGAACACTATAGCAACATGTATTGCTAACACTGTAGTCCTCTGCTTTTTCCCCCCTCCAGTCTGAGGGAAAAAAAGCAGTTTTATTTACCTTTTCTCCCTCACAGCACCGGTGTTTGCGCTGTTTTCCCAGCCACTTCCCATAGGAAAGCATTGGGAGGCTAGACTGCACCAAACAAATGGTCTTCCTCTCAGCTATTTCAGAGGAAGCACCTCTAGTGTTTATCAGAGTGACAGCTGCTAGAGGCATTTAAACCTGTCAATGTTAACATTGCTGTTCCTGCTAAACCGCAATGTTTTACATTTAGGGGTTACACAGATTGGGACATGACACCCATACCACTTAATTGAGATTAAGTGGTCTGGGTGCCTATAGTGTGGTCCTTTGCTGGTTAATGGCTAATATAGATTCACTGGTGCAGTGGTGGAACTAATGAAGAGAAGGCCCTGGTGCTACAAAATTTTTGGGTTCCTGTATAGAGCAGTGGTTGTCATAAAGTAGATTCTCAACTGCAGACAACTTCAACAATGTTTTGCCTGCTGTCATTTAGTTAATTTACCATCCTTGCAGGATTCTATTTGTGTGCAGTGTCTGTGAATGTATGCATGTTTTTGTATGGAATATATATGTGTGTATGCTTGTGTAGGTGCGTGCTTTTGTTTTGTGCTGTAATTAAAATGCAAAGGTGTGTGTGGTGTTCGCTTTTAATCCCTTAGTGACCAGACCGTTTTTCAATTTTCTTACTGTTTGGGACCAGAGCTATTTTTAAATTTCTGCTGTGTTTGTGTTTAGTTATAATTTTCCTCTTACTCATTTACTGTACCCACACATATTATATACCGTTTGTCTTGCCATTAAATGGTTTTTCTAAAGATACCATTATTTTCACCATATCATATAATTTACTATAAAACAAATTATAAAATATGATGAAAAATTGTAAAAAAAACAACACACTTTTTCTAACTTTGACCACTAAAATCTGCTACGTATCTACAACCACCAAAAAAGACCCATGCTAAATAGTTTCTAAATTTTGATCTGAGTTTAGAAATACCCAATGTTAACATGTACTTAGCTTTTGTTGGAAAGTTAGAGGGCTCTAAGTACAAGTAGCACTTTGCTATTTCCAAACCATTTTTTTTCAAAAAGAATGAAAGTTATCTTTCAGGAATCCCTGAAAAACCCTTCACATGTATATATTTTTTAAAAGAAGACAACCTAAGGTATTAAACTTGGGGTATTTTGACTCTTTTCATGCAACCATTTTACCACCAATCTATGCCAAATTTAAAAAAATAATAATAATAATTGGTGATTTTATTTTGAC